GTCCAGTTAGTTTTGGCTTTACGCGGCATCTTTTTGCACGTCTTGAATGCTGGTCTCTGTGTTTTCAAGAAACTGAGTGAATCACGAAATATCTTTACAAAACCACTTGAGGTGTTTATCCATTTCTGTGGAGTGTTGATATTACCTCGGGAACCAGAAAAGGAAACCAAAAAAGGATTTCATCTATTCTCCCAAAAAAGAGGGACAGAAAGATTGATTGGTTTTACAATGAAACAATCAGTTCCCAAAAAAGGATAAAAAAAGCTGCAACACTATGTTCAACCAGCTGTATTGCGTTCAACAGACTCGACACAGCCAATTGGTAACGAGTCTCCGATATGGATGACAACACTCTCTCAAACTATAGGAGAGAATGGGCAAGCAATGTCATCAAGGTTTTGGGTAAACATGGGAAAAGACTGTTTCCAACTTGATGATGGGTAAGAATCAACAAGGCAGGGAATTCTACAGAAATAGCAATCTAATGAGAAACCAATGCCAAGTCTTGTTCCCTCATCCAAAAAGCAACCAACAAAGATTGACAAATTTGCAGAGAGTTGGTATTTAAAGACGTTATTGAAGCTTCTATTGCATTTGATCGTAAAGGATTTTTCATGACATAGTTGCAAAGAAGAAAAGGCGTCATAAAGCGAATTCACTTTTTTTCGTTGCAAGTGATTTCTTGGATCTGGTACTTGAGAATAGCCAACCAACATCATGAATTGATATTTGAGTTTGTAAAAGGAGATATCAAGTTGTTAAGGAATATGTAAAGGTGATTTCGTGGAGACTTGTTAAAATTCTAGTCTCACAAATGTAGGGGTACAATACGCTTATTGTATGGATAATTTGAGGGAATAGTAGGGGAATATTGTCCCGATGTAGGGGCAGTGTCTGGAGAGTGAAACATACTTCTGTAGGTATCACCTTGAGACAATCTAGTAAAACCAAACCTATCTCCAAGGCTGTAGTTGCTGCACTTTTTTTCGTACAGACTTTAACAAGCCCTTGTCGTTGACGACTAGAACACAGTTCTTGACTATGGATACGACTGTACTCAAATCCTTCAGTATGGTTATGCTTCAACAGGTAAACAAAAAGTTTTCAAGGGTTCTTTTCTTGTGTTTCTTGGGTGTCTTTGTCTCGAGGTCTCGTAAAGACTTGAGCTTTGAAAAGGACAACTTTTCTTTGACTTTTACTACTTGTAGCTTTGTTCAATGTCTTGGTAAACCAAACGATGATATCATTCAACTGGCTACTCAACTCAATATCACTTGTGTTTTTCCAAACTCGTTACTCTCAAGGGTACTTGTCCATTTTTAAGGAGTCATTTCAAACAATATTGAGGTGGAACTTAAACGTGTTACAGACTGTTTTTTTGCTGAATTGAAACGTATTTTTTTGTTATGGTTATTCAAAACAAGTATTTTTGGAAAAAAAAAAGGAAAAAAATAACCATTTTTTGTCATTCTTCTCTTCTTTTGCATAGAATGTGTCTTTATAGCATTGGCTCTTAATGTTTCGTTATCACTGTGGAAATCAAAGTTAACTTTCTTGGAATGATCTTTTACTGTTTCAAATGGCTTTACTGATTTTTACACACACTGTCCTCAATTTCAAATGCCCCATTTCCAATTTACCCATTCTTCCCCGCATCCATAATGGCAATTTCCAAATCAACACAATCGCCTTTGGGTTGGCCCCTCTTCAATTTCCTCACACCCTTTCCCCACCCATTTCCCCCCATCGCAATTTCCCCTCCCATCTCCAAATGGGCCCATTCTTTCCCACCCCACACCCATAATGGCAATTTTCAAATCAAAATTGCGCGGGCCCATTTACAATCGGCCACTCTTTTCAAATTGCCCACCTTTCCCATTAGCAGAAAAATCAGTAAAAAGTGTGTATATTGGTGCTCAGCATATTATGCAGAATCAGACCCAATGGAAACAACGAAATCTTCATTTTAGAGTATACCAATATGATTCAACACTAGGTCAATTCTGGAAACAACAGACTCAAACGAGTTTCGGTCAACGATCTGTTTGGTATCAAAAGTTATTTACAACTATCAGGGAAAGAATGTGGGGATTTTCTCTCGTTATGATTCTTGTCAAGCAAACTATCAACTAGATTGTCCTCTGTGTATTTAGATGAAAGAATACTAGTACTCGTTAGTATTTCGTCGGCCAAGTCT